CTTGAAAGACCCTAGCCACCATGCGTGTGTAGGTGGCGCCTGAATTTTTGAGGCCGAAGGCCATCACAAGATAGCAGAAGATGCCTTCGGGTGTCATGAAGGCAGTTTTTTCAGCGTCTTCCTCATGCATGTAGATTTGATGATATCCGCGGAACGCGTCGAGGAATGACATGATTTCGCATCCCGCGGTCTCATCCACTAGTTGATCAGTGTTTGGCAGAGGGAAGGGGTCCATGGGGCACGCCTTATTCAGATCCGTATAGTCCACACACATGCGGAAGGTGGGAGGCTTCTGTGCGAGGACTACATTTGCCAACCAAGAAGGGTATTTCACCTCCTTGATGTGTTTGATGGAGAGGAGCATAGACACCTCTTTCTTTACGAACTCCCTCCTCTCGGCCGAAAGGGGTCTTCTTCGCTGTTGCACTGGTTTGGCCGAAGGGTCCACCGCTAGGCGGTGGGTGATAACCCTTCGGTCAATCCCTGGCATGTCCTCCGGCCCCCATGCAAAAACAATGGAGTAGGCGCGGAGGGCTTTGGTGATGCCAGCCTTCAAGTCTTCGGGGAGCTTGGCTCCAATCTTCAGGACTCTCTCCGGCTTGGCCGGATCGAGTAACAACTCTTCGGTCTCCTCGGCAGGTTCAGCCCTCGGCCTACCTTCTTCTTCCTCCAGGGCCTTGGCGGTGATGGTGTCAATCCGAAATTCAGTTTTACTAACCTTCTTGGTAAGTTGAAGGTAGCAGGCCCTGGAGAGCTTCTGATTTCCCCTCGAGTAACCGACGCCGGTAGGCGTGGGGAACTTGAGGCAGAGGTGCCTCATGGAGATGACGGCTTCCAAGTCCTCGAGGGCAGGCCGGCCGAGGATGATGTTGTGCGCGCAGTCGAGGTTGACGACGACGAATTCCACTTCGAGCTTGGCTCTATGGGACCCGTCGCCGAATTCAACCACGAGGGTGATGACGCCTTCGGCGTCTATGCTGTCCCCTGTAAATCCGGAGAGGGGGGTGTTGATGCGTCGGAGGGACCCTCTGTCGAGTCTTAACTCCTGAAAGGTGCTGAGGTACATGACGTTGACAGAACTCCCCGTGTCGACATAAGTCCGGTGGATGATAGCGTCGTTGATCTCAGTGCGGATGACGAGGGCATCCCTATGCGGCAGAGAACCCGAGGGGAGGTCCGCATCTGTGAAGAAAATTGGATCCGCCTTCGGCCGTTTAGTTGGGGGCATGTGATTGACTTCCCCAATGTAAAGGGACTGTGCCCACTTCTTCCGTTGACTGGTGGAGTCTCCACCAGTGTTGCCACCATTGATCATATGAATATGGCGTTTGTATTGCTGATGGGAGCCTTCTCCCTCGTCCTCCAAGCCCCCAATTTCACGTTTCTTCCCCTGTGGGTTTCCCAAAGGGATGGTGTTGGGGTTCACCCACTTATTCGCCTTTGGCGGAGGACCTTGAGGATGAGGGGGGCCCTGGGGAGGAGGGCCCCTGATAAATTGAGACAAGTGGCCCGCCTGTATCAGCCTCTCGATGGCGTTCTTCAGCTGATGGCAGTCGTCGGTTTGGTGTCCATGGTGGCGGTGGAAGCGGCAGTAGGGCTCATCAGGACCGATGGCGTAAATCTCGAGGGGTGTGCGGGAGTCTCGCTCAACGAGCCCCCGCTCTTCCGCATGATCAAGAATGACGCTGACGGGATGCGTCAAGGGAGTGCGTGGGTGCTCAAGGAGGACGGGTTGCGCCCATGCCTTCGGATTATTCCTGTAACCGCCCCCGGGTCTGGCATGGCCACCTCGGGAGCGATCACTGTGATGGGGCTCTCGGTTGACCGGAGGGGGAGGCCCTCCGGGCCGATTCCTGCCCTCGTTCTTCTGAGAAGGATCCGTGTTGCGGCGGTCCTTCTCGATCTCCTCTGCTTCGGCATAACGGTCCCCCCGCTGAAGGGCCTTCGTATAATCGCGGGGGGGATCAGTGATAAGACTCCGAGAGAAGTTACCGTTGCGGAGGACTGTGTGGAAGAGGGCCATCAGGGTCCTGTCATCAGCACCCTCGACCTCGAGGGAGGCCTGCCTCCAGCGCTCTAGGAAACTCCGAAGGGTTTCCTCCTTCTGTTGTCTCACGTTTAGGAGATGGGAGAAGTGCTTCTTTGAGCGATGCCTCCCAGCAAATTGCGTAAGGAAGCGGTGGGCAAGTTCTTGCCAAGAATCGATGCTCCCTTCGGGCAATCGGTTGAACCACTCATACGCGGGCCCCTCCAAGGTGGAAAGGAACCAGCGGCATAAGTACTCATCCGAGGCCCCCATCATCATCATACTGTTCTGATACCTGCTGTAGTGTTCTTGGGGATCCGTCTTCCCCTCATACGGCTTGATGGGTTGCCCCCGATATTTGTGAGGGATTTTGGCCGCCAGCACCCTTGGGGTGAAAGGCGTCCTAGTGCGGAGTTGGATGAGGGGCTCGCCTGAGCCTTCGGCAAGCTTACGCTTCATTTCCTCCACTTGCGCCCGGAGGTCGGCGTACTCTGGGTTTGGCCTCGCTGTGGAAGCCGTCGGGGGCGCCTGACGATTCTCCTCGAGTTGACGGAGGAGGGCTTCAATGATTTCGTCCTTGGGATCCTTCAGGGCAACCCCTTGGGAGTTGGCCCGGAAGGATTGCGCCTGATTGATCTGGTGCCTGGCGTCATCGGCACGGAGGAGGGCTTTACCCATAAATATAAATATACGTAATATACCTATGTGTTATAAATTAGATTTTTATACAAAGCTTCTACTACGTATTTAATACGGAGTATAAATATACTTATTAGATGTTAATAAGTATAAATATTGATGGATAGTCTACCCGGGGGGTATCTTATCCGAGGGGTTATTGCGGGAATAGCTAGAGAGAAGTCAGAGCAAAATAGGAGGAGAGAGAGTCGATTTTATTAAATGAACTCGAGATGTGGAGCTGAGATGTAGATTCTGTCCATTACAAGGAGAAGTGGGCTGCTATTTATAGCAGCAATAAATGCGATGAGAGGACACGTGTCAGTAATCCAACGGCCGAAGGGTCACATCAGCCTAGTGGCACCGGCAGTGGTACGTCAACCGCATTGATTGCGGTTGGCGGATGTGACGTGGCATTAAATGCGGTGGTTGGCTGTCTCTAAAAGGAATCTTTGATGATTGAGCCTGTTCAGCCGAAGGCTCCTTGTGTAGCCGAGGGCTCCTTGTGCAGCCGAGGGCTCCCTGTGTAGCCGAGGGCTCCCTGTGTAGCCGAAGGCTTGGTTCAGCCGAAGGCTTCCCCTGGTGCCGAGGGCGTGGGAATGCCGAAGGCTCATGTCTTCGCCCGTTTCCTCTCAGCAGCTTCTTATGCCAGAGAAGGCTATCCTGTGAGTTTTGGAGCCTTCGGCCAGGGAGGCCGAAGGCACCGCATTATGTATTTTGGGCTACTTTGAGGCTTTGGGCCGTTGCATTTGGGCCTGAGTTGTTTCCTGAGCTCAATGGACTTGTGTAGGAGAAGTAGGAGTCTATGGGCCGGGGGTTCCTGGGCCATATACTCCATCAAATATAATAATTGATATAATATTAAACAATTAACTTCAATTAATTTCAATAACATTAATAGAAGCTATTATCTAGTGCGTTGTTTCATCCTTTAAAGTCGCCGACCTTTGTTAGGAAGAAATCGCTGGAAACTTCAAGTGGCCTGCGTCGTTTGGGACTTCAAGTCTCCTGTTTCGTTTGGCATGCTTGGAACAAGTATCCCAAGATGGAGTCTGCGAACCAACATCGCGTAATACGCGACTTACCTATCCACAACCGCGTTCCGCAGTCGCGAACCAGACGCGTACTGTACGCAGTCGTACCGCGATCCGGTACGGACGATCCGGAACGGGAATCGTGGGCTGTCCAGCGATTTCTGTAACTATGGACCGGTGGTCACAATAGTGGGTGGCAGGAGTCACTGTACCGGGAGTCACTATAGTGAGCGGCAACAGTCACTGGTCGGGGTTGCGGCCACGGTCACCTGACGAGCGGTGGCCTCAGTCACTGTGGCGGCGGCGGGGCAATCGCTAGACCGGTGGGGTAGTCACTGTTGTTGATGGGGCTGTGGCGCCGGACTCACTTAGGCCGAAGTCACTTTACGCTGCAGAGTTAATTGTGATTTTGTTCACATTTTGGATTTTTTAAAAACAGATCATTTTTTTGTCTTTTCCCTTATTTTTAGTAATATTCAGGCCAACTTCAAAATCAAACTTTTCAAAGTCTATTACAAATTTACTAGACTTTTACTTGGATTAAGTAAAATTCTTTAATAGGAACATAATTTTAAATAATACTAACTATCTTACATGAACCAAGAATAATCGGAACGTAATTTTAAAAATAACTTTTAATAATACCAATTATTTCAATATATATCAAAAGTGATACATATCAATTTTTCGCTAAAAATCAGTTATTTAATCCATCAAAAACTAATATCAAAGTATCGAATAAGTGACCGTATTTCCAGATATCAATTATTTGATGATTTGATATTAGTTTTTGATGTCTTAAATGACTAGTTTTTTTGTAGAAAAGTGACTGTGTATTATTGGTTTACATTCAGATAATTGATATTATTAAATTTATTTCTAAAGTATGTATTATTTTTGGTGCATAGAAGATAATTGATATCATTTAAAGCTATTTTCCCTTCTTTAATTGAATATAGGTGTTGTTTTGATATTTTATAATAAACCCTTCAAAATTGGAGTTAAAAATATTGAATGCAAAGTGTAGACAATCCCAAGTTCCCAACAAATAAAACAAGAGTTTATTCAAAAAATATCACTAAAATAAAATTTATTTACACAATTTTTACCATTAGTATACAATATTTAATTTTTTATTATTAAAAAAATTTAAGATTTTGAAAATTTACAATGAGACAAATTTAACAATGTGTTTATAAAAAATTTATTAATACATTAATAAATAAAGTCTAATCAAAGTAGAAGATAAGGGTAAAATTCAACTAATTCAAAGTATAACAACTCCTTTTATCACAAGTTCTGTGCCGAAACCAGAGTGAGCACTGAGAAGTTAGGACCCTTCCCGCGCTCGGAAGTCGGGAGTCTGAACTTAATAGGGTTTATTAAGCTGCTCGGTTGAAGTATTGTCGTTGAGAAAGATCTTCAACCAAGCTCCGGAAAATCAATTTGCGGCCTTTGCAACAATGGAGGTGGATATGGAAACCTCACCCAGCAGCTTTGACCCTGAAAATCTCAGTATCAGACAGCGTTTCCGTCGATACGGGTAAAAAATCACATTTTTTTCCCTCTGTTTTTGGTCGTATTTCATTCAAATTGCTGGGAATCCCGCTCTTTCATTTTCTGCATTTCTATTTCGATGAATATTGGTAAACTTTCCAAGTTAAGTCTTTATTACTTTAGAAGAGAGGTAAAAGCTGGATTGGGTGTGGACCTATGCCATTGGGATATCAGAGAAAGATATTTTATTGGTTCTGCAAGAGTGTCTACATACCAGACACGGCCTTATTTTCGGGTGGCTAAAAGAAACAAGGGAAAAAGTACGAGTGCTAATCATGGCTAATTGGCTATATAACCAACTGCTAGACTTTGTGCTTTCAAGTCTTTAAGAGGGGTATGCCTGATGTTGGTTGCATAGAATTGCTAGTGCCCCTATCCACACAAATAACGAATTATGCATACCATCAGGACTTCAATACTAAGTATCTTTATTAACAGATAAATCTGAGATATCTATTTTTTATGACTGTATGCGTGTGCCGTGTATATATGTTTGTTTTCTGGCATGTCTCTCTGTTTTGGACCTTTTTGGTGGTGTAAATATTGGCTCATGTTAGGCAATATTTTATCATGGATTTATAATGGTCATATTTACTGCAGCAAAAGACATTCTCCTTCAAGTTTATCTCCTCGCCGAGAAAATCCAGTTAGTAGGTTAGCTGAGGTTAGGTCAAATTCAGCTCTTTTTCTTGAAAGTATCAAACAAGAAGCTGAAAGCATTGATGAAGACCATGGAACAACACCTCTAAAGATGCATCATAGTCCAGTATGGAGAGCTTCCCCCGAGAATCATGGAATTTCTGCGATTGACTTTGGCATTGATGTTAATAGCCAAGGTGGAAGCATTTCCCTTAAAACATGCAAGAAGGAGCATGATGCAGTGGAAGATAATGAGGGCACAACCTTTTATTTATTTGCTTCTCTGCTGGATTCAGCTCTTAAAGGTTTTCTTTACTTCAACAATATCTTAGTCTTATACTCTTAAGGCTTCTTTGAATTTGAGCAGACTGCTTCCTTCATTAGTTTAGTACTTTAATCTTCAGATCCATTGCAGATGTATTGGCGTAATGCTCAGTGCTCTCGCTACTACAAAAAATCATCATCATCATCATCATCATTACCCCAGTGCCGCAAAGGCTCCCACCTACGGTGGGGTAAGGGGGGGTCGGATGTACGCAGTCTTACCCCTGTACTAAAGCACAGAGAGACTGTTTCCGAATAACCCATAGTGAAAAACGCGTCGAAAATTGCATAGACTGACTGTTACTTCATAACAAAGAAGCGCAGACAGTTTAGTGAGCCATTTTGCTTTATTCCATCATATTAAAGCATTAGGCATTTCGCTACTACAAAAAATATCAACACAAAAACTTGGATTTTCATTACTTTTAAATATTAGGCATTTGTTTTCCTGTCAACTGGGTTCTGAGATTAACATAGCATCAATAACATGCAAAAGAGGTTTTGAGAAAGAAACAAACTGCAACATTTTTTTCATAAATGTTGTATTTTCTTTCCTTGAAAAAATTCAAAATATTCTAATAGGAAGCTGTCTTTTTTAGCCAGAAGCCAAGACTAATGCGATTAGTGATCACATTTACTGTTGATAAAATACTTAGTTCTCGTCACTTAATTACTTGATTTGACAAATGTTACCCCCAGTAAGCTTGTTTTCCTCTGATTAGCCTGACATTTAGATTTTGTGTGATGCAGGGTTAATGTCTATGCCTGAATTGGTGTTACAGTTTGAGAATTCTTGCCGCAATGTTTCAGAGTCAATCAGGTGCGTTTCTTGCCAAAGATATACTGTACATAGCCTAATGGGTCCCATTTGTGATGAAGACCTGCTGTATATACTGCTTAAATAATGAGGTTTACTTATAGAATGTTGTTTGCATGAAGTGTTGGTTAATCTTAGTATTTTTTTAATTCTAAAAAATCCTTTGCGGCTCTACATATACTAGGATTGTGATGTTACCTTTATAATGCTCATGTTTGATGCACATGGTCAGGAAAATTTCACTTATCGTGGTTGCAGACTACTTTATTTAACATTTACCTATCATCTGAAAGTGTCTTCATATATCTATGATAGAGCTGAACTGGCATATACCATGCAAATGAGAGGAAAAAGTGTGGTAGTAATAGACTAGCCGTCCTGCCATTATGCATATGCCAAGTGTAGGATTGGATACTGGCATACTTAGAGGTTTCGTCATACATCGATATTGTAGATTTCAGTTATGCGTGTTTATGTGCACTTACGCCTAACATAAATGGTTGGTTTGCTGCATTCTAATAGTTCACATCACTGTGCAGTAATATCACTGACTAGTAATCGCTTTCTCTTTTTCCGTTTCAACAAATTTTCATTTCAGATTTGGCTCTAATGGACATCGCAGAATTGGGGAGGACAAGTTGATGAAGCAGAAAGCGAGATTGTTGCTTGATGAGGCTGCATCATGGTCGCTCCTGTGGTATCTTTATGGAAAAGGTACAAGTCCTCATCCTTCATGTGTATTATGCTTTAATATGATCATATTGATGTTGTGTAAATACTTGGTGTGGTTTGAGCTTTTTGGAAGTTGTCACGTGGAATAGGGTAATTTGTATTAAGACATTATGTGTGTGGCGCACTGTCACACACATAGCTATTTGGTTGACTTCATGGGTTAGTGCATTATTGCCTTTCAAAGAGCTATATAAATTTCAGTGATATGCATGTGGCTTCTGTTCTAAAAATCGGCCTAGGTACTGGCTAGTCTCTAGGCGAAAGCCGGGCACCTCAGTTTTATTCTACTGTCCAAAAATCTTTCGACTGACTAGCAATGCGTATACTCAACTAATCGGCACCTGAGGTCCCTAGATCCGACTAATCAGTCATGTATGACGCCTAGAATCATAGAAACGTCAAGTTAACTACTCCCTCCGTCCCGCTATGATTGTCCCATTTTACCTTTTCGGGAAGTCCCACTAAAATTGTCCCATACCATATATGGTAAAGATTGTGCGGCTCTAAATCATTCTAACTTTATTCTTACTTTATCAATTTAATATCAACCACACAAACATACTTTTCTTAATAATCGTGCCACCTTCTCCCGTCCCAATCTTAGTGGGACAGAGGTAGTACTAGGTAACTAAGTTATGTCCCATTTGTAAACCTTATCATGTTAAACACTTACCTAACACCAATTACAAATTTGAGCTACGTGCTATTTATATTTTTTTTTTTTGCTTTTGTGATTATATCAATCATACATGTAGACATATATATGCATCTTGCATGCATGTGTGTATATTTATATATATGTATATGCATGCATGTGTGTATGTATGTTTGCAGATACAACCACAACCACAACATCCCAGCCTTAATCCCAAAAAATTTTGGGGTCGACTGACAATCTTGACATAAATCGAACCATGATATCAGTGTCAAAAAGAGAAGACAAACAAGAAGAAGTAAAGAAAAGGAAAAAAAAGTAAGATAAATATAAGATAACAATAACATAAGAATGGGGAGTGTTCTCCTAAGGCAGTAAGTTTTAGGCCTCTTTCAATTGAAGTGCTTCCGGGTTGAATATTTTTATGAAATTTTGTTAGCATATTCTCCATGAAGTGTAGAAAAAAACTAAATTATTGAAAAAAACTAAGGTAGTACACCAAATTTCAACTTAAAATTCAACCGTAAAGTTAGTTAACTAAATTATTGAAAAAAACTGCATGTTATATGTATAAAAACTGCCCCATTTTAAAAAAATTATTTAAGTGACTTCCCGATTAGATTTTAATCTGAAATTTGGTAGATATAATATGCACTTGATGGAGAACATTCTCACAAAATTTTATCAAAAAATTCATCCTGGAAGCCCCTCAACTGAAAGAGACCTAAATTTTTTACTTTTAGGCCTACCTTACATGAATATTTTCCACATAAGAACATAAGAAGTATAAAAGAAAAAAAGATAAAAGAGCATAAAAAGCTAGAAGATATAAATAACATACGAATATAAAAAGATAAAGAAGGTAAACGATGAAAGAAAAAGAGAGAGGAAAGATAGAAAAGAAATCAATCGTCCACATGATATGCGCCCTCCACTTTGCTCTCTCCAAAGCCACACTCTCGTCCAACCCCAAAAGACGCATATCGGTTCTGATTCCTCTAATCCAAGTCTGTTTGGGTCTTCCCCTCCCTCTCCTCTCTGCCTCTTCTCCCCACCTCTCAAGTCGTTTAATAGGTGCATTACTCGGTCTCCTACACACATGACCAAACCACCGCAAACGAGACTCCTGCATCTTATCTTCTATAGGTGCTACTCCCACTTTTATTTTATTATCTCATTCCTCAAGCGGTCTTTTATGGTATGACCACACATCCAACGCAACATACACATCTTTGCCACACTCATCTTTTGAATGTGACACTGTTTCACCGCCTAACACTCTACGCTATACATTAATGCAGGCCTAATTGCCGTTCGATAAAATTTACCTTTCAGTCTAGTCGGCCCTCAATTACTTAGAAATCCTGATGCACTCTTCCATTTCATCCATCCACCTCTGATTCTATGTAATACATCTCCATCTAATTCACCATCCTTCTGAATTATGGAGCCCAAGTAACGGAACATATCACTTACCGGTATCTCCTTACCATCAAGAGTAATCCCACTATTGCTACAACTTCTACCACCACCAAACTTGCACTCCATATACTCTGATTCGGCTTAGTCTGAAACCATTGGTCTCCATTGTTTACATATACAATATTATTGGTTTTATATTTACAAAGTTATTTATAAAATATGTATTCTTTACACCTCGCCTGGCCCCCCTAGGCATTAGGCCCTTGTCTGGTTCTCGACAGCGTCTTGCAAGTTTAGAACATCGATGTATGCCATAAACATCTTATGCACATCCTTGAAAAGTTGGCATGTCTTCAGTGGCCCAGCCATTTATATGGCTGTTGGCAGGTATCATTCATGTGCTTTGATTACAAAAAATTTTGTGGTTTACAATCAATCAGTTTCTCATATGAATCTGCAGTCAGAATTTGATTTACTTCATATATCATCCATAGTAGCTGAGTTTAACTAGTCTTAAGGACATAATAAGGCATCTCTTGATCCTTTCTATATAAAAAATATTCCAAAACTATTCCGATATTAATATTTTTTATCCTTTTAATATAAAATTATAAATCGGTATATTTATGAACTAACAAGTAATTAAAATTTAAAATATGAGCCTGAATAAATATCTTATGCAATTATTGATTTATGTGTTTGTCTTTCATATTTGCAATACTAAAGGTTCACTATTCCAAATAATAGGGCATTTAAAGATTATTTTAAAATTCTAAATACCTTACTACCTTCATCCCATTTTATGGGTCTTCTTTTGATTTGACACAATTATTAATAAAGTGGTTGAAAAGGTAAAACTTATGGTTGGGATTTGAGTGTAATAAAGTGAAATGTTGTGTACCACATATTTCTTTCCAAAAAGGGAAATATGACACTTATTTTGGGACAACCCAAAAAGGAAAGTAAGACACATAAAATGGGACAAAGTATTATTTAGATTCTTTGATGTAATTATTGATTTTATCTGCGTGTCTTGCTTTTTACAGTCTCCCTCCCCAAATCAGCTTCCCACTTTCCTATTTTGCCCATCTCAGTATCACTTTTCCGTTTTCTTTTGAAGAAAGAATTGCCTGGTTGGTTTTTTGTGATTTGTAAATAAATTTGGACCACACAGTTGCATTCTCTAAACAAGCATGCCAAAAGAAAACAGGAAGCTTATTTGGATGTGAATAGTTGTTTCTAGAAACCTGGTGGTAATTGCATTATTCTTCATCTTCGTGTAGGTGTTAACGTGGGCTCTCCCATTTGTATTTCATCACCTAGTTTATGTTAATCTAGACTCTTCTTCATCTGTTCACAGGAAATGACAAGCTCCCTAATGATCTAATAATGGTGATGCACCTTTTTATAATCTCAATACAATTCAACTACTGATCCTTCGTTATATTTGGTGTACATTCCTAGATCTGATGGTGCATATTTCCTTTTCTAATTATGTCAAATGGTGTTGACAGTTCCCAACTACTTCACATTTAGAGGCTTGCCAGTTTGTTAATGGAGATCTAACTGCACAGCTCTGCCTTCGGATTGTTCAGTGGCTTGAAGGGTTAGCCTCAAAAGCCCTTGATTTTGATAAGAAGGTAATGAAACTGTCAGACATTATAATGCTGCGTGCTTATGGTACTAGATTACTAGTGTTATCTACTTTTCTCACAATAATATATACTCCCTTTGTCCCTTGTAACTTTGCCAGTTTTCCTTTTTTGTTTGTTCCATTAACTTTGCCACTTTTCCTTTTAAATAAAGAATTTGTGGTTATTGTTAATTCTTTCTCCTCTGCACAAACCTCAACCACACAGTTTTTACTTTAATATTCTACGCGCCAATCAACTTTGACAAAGTTATAAGAGACAGAGGGAGTACAGAATTATTTAGTGCTGTAAAACTTCTCAGTCTCAAATGTATTAGTGCTGTTAAAGGTTTCTAGTTTTTTCTTTTTAGCTGTTAAACTCTGGAGCAGAGTATATATCTACAGAATAAGTTTTTTCATAAGAAATCTTTCTTCTAGTTCTTCTTTAACTGTTTAAGCAGAAACATAAAAATTAGCTTCATGAAAGAAAAAAATAAAAATAAAGGGCTAATGGCTGGATTGTCGGTGTTTAATTCTACATAGTTGTCCTCATATAGGCATTGGGGAATAATATTAGTTAGATCCAATTCGTCACATCCACTTTAGTTTAATCTTGCAGGTGCGAGGGTCTCATGTAGGTACCTATCTCCCAAGTTCTGGAGTTTGGCAGCAGACTCAGCGTTTCATAAAGAAAGGTTCTTTGAATGCAAAAACAGTTAGTCATTTAGATTTTGATGCTCCTACAAGGGAACACGCTCAACTATTACCCGATGACAAGGTATTTTTAATTAAAAAGCCCGCATGTTCATATTTGCATCATTGCTCTTGACAACTTATATTATCTTGGATATTGCTCTTTCCGTTGCATTTGCATGTTAGTCTTTCCCTGTTAGTTTGTCCCAAAGTGATTCCTACTATAATTTAAAGGAAAAATTGAAAATAATAATCCCAACTATTGCCGGTCCGCTGAAAATAATCCCAACTATTGATTATTTTTGTATAATCCCAACTATATAGACTATCCGCCAATAATGGTCCAGGACCATATATTACCTCTATAAAAAGTGAATTTTAAATAGAAATTAAGCGTAAAAATTAAAAGTTGAGATTATTTAGAGGGATTACTTGTTATATCTCACCTCATCCACTTTAGAAACTACAAGAATTTATTCATAGGGATCATTATTGGCGGAAGGTCCCTAAAGTTGGGATTATTCTGTAATAATCAATAGTTGGGATTATTATAAGCGGACCGCCAATAGTTGGGATTATTACTATCAATTTTTCCTAATTTAAACACCACTGACTTCAATTTCCCATTATACCATGTATTAATCTTTAACTTTTCTATTTTTGTCCTAACCAGCCTCTTTAGAAGCGGAAAGTTGGAATGGAAATTGTATGTCTTGTGTTTCTTTAAAAGTTGTGCCAAACACAGCCCTTATGTTTTTTGTTGGAGGACATATTTTTCTTTCAAATTAGATGAATTTGATGTATAACTACAATTTTGAATGTTTACTTAATTTTATCTCTGGAGTTGTTCTGTGTTATACGATTTTATTAAACGTGTTCTTCCACTTAATTTCTTATGTGCAGATATTCACCTGCTTAATGAGAAAAGGCTGTATCTGCTTAATGACACAATACTGTGGATAATATGAGAATTGGGAAATGTGCTTTAATCATTTCTGTTTGTACTGGGAATTATGAAAACCTACATATGCTTTTGATGACCACAGTCTTACTATTTTCCGTAGTTGAATTATTAGATCGTCCCTTCTTGAGATATGAATTTCACAGACGATTTAAGAGTTTAAAAGAATGATCTTTTGAACACAAATTTTTCTATAGTTGACAAAGGAACATGCTATATGCCCGTGTCTGCATTGGTTTTGGTTCATTATGGTCGAAGGTTTCCCAAGGTCAGTGCCATAGAAGTTCAGTGATCTTATTTCAAATAAGTTTTTTTTGTGCATGCAGAAGCAAGATGAGTCACTTCTTGAAGATGTTTGGACCTTTATAAGGGCGGGAAGACTGGAAGAAGCGTGCAACCTCTGCCGTTCTGCTGGGCAGGTAAGACAATAGCTCTAAAAATATGATGTTATTTAAGTATTTAACACGCTCATTCTTCCTTGAGGAAATGGTTGTTGATTAGCATGTCACTTTGCTTGTAAACAGCCTTGGAGGGCAGCAACTTTATCACCATTTGGAAGGTTTGATCATTGTCCCTCTATTGAAGCCCTGATAAAAAACGGAAAGACCAGGGTTCTGCAAGCCATTGAACTGGAAACTGGCATTGGTCATCAACGTCGTCTTTGGAAGTGGGCTTGTTATTGTGCATCAGAGGTAGACGGGGCAAACATATTAATTCTCACATTTACTATATTACTCAAAAAGTTTTCTATTACCTTCCGATCCCTTACTAACAAGTGTTTTTCATTGTCTTTTGGTTCCAATAAAGCTAAAATTGTTGAAGTGGCTGAGTTATTGTAAAGAAATGAAATATATTTTTATTACTTTCTTAGTTATATTTAAGAATGTTGAAACTTGAAAGTTGAGTGTAGACATATATTTCATTCATTTATAAAACTAATTCCAAAAAATACGTCTGGCACCACTTTTCCATTTTCATCAGTTGGACTCAACTAAATCCAAATAGCATGGACTGTCAAATAAGTTGGTCTTTTAAAAATAAACTTGTTGATAAACAACACAAGTATAAATAAGAGTTCAATAGACAGACACTCATACTAGATATTTGTCCACTTTTATTGCATTTGATGTATTTTTTCATTTTTCTCTTCTATGCTGAAGAAAATTGCTGAGCAAGATGGAGGGAAATATGAAACTGCAATTTATGCAGCACAGTGCAGTAACTTAAGGCGCATTCTTCCCATGTGTACAGACTGGGAGGTATATCTCCTCATTTCCATTTCTTGTTGACAAGAAAAACAATTTCAGTGATTTGAAGTAGCAATTAATTGATAGAAAGACATACACAAATTCTCTGAACAAGTGATGAAAATGTGAAAATACACACATTACAAGTTAGTAGCATTATATGTTGCCTCACGGCCTACATGATTGAAAGCAGTATATGGCTCTACTTGCAAGTCTGCAACATAGCACACAGCCTGTTTTCGGATGAAGTGTATTGATTCTTCTCAACATAGACATAAAATGGTAAAACAAGTTAGAGCATGAAATGGTGAACGGGTGATTTCAAGCCAAAGTAGCCCAATGACACTCCTTGCTCAACAAAAATGGATGTAAACATAGAGGCAAAAAGAACCAATGATAGAAAATGCTGTCTTGGGGCTAGGGTTTTGTTTCACCCTCCTTTCCATCTTAATTCTTAAATAAGCATAGTTTTTTGTTTTTTGTTTTTTAATGTCATAGAAATGTTATTGTTTGGGTTGCTCATTGAGGGGTTTGTGTACCATACATGGCTTCTTTAACATGCATTCAAGAGGCTGTATCACACCTCAGAAACTGATTTGGAATGTCATATTTCATGAACCATGATTTATTTTCTGAACTTTGATCATTTATTCGAAGAGTTATGTAGTTATTCTCTTTCTTTCCAGTCTGCCTGCTGGGCAATGGCCAAGTCATGGCTGGATGTCCAGGTTGATATGGAATTGGCACGCCTGCAGCCAGGCGGAAGATATCAGTTTAAACATTTTGAAGAAGCATTTGACCAAAGTCTGGAACAGGAAAGTGGTGCTTCTCAGTCAGCAGTGGGTCCGGATGGCTGGCCCCTCCAAGTGATGAATCAGCAACCAAGGCACCTTACTGCATTGCTCCAGAAACTCCATTCCATGTAAACACTTGATACTCAGCATCAGTTATTAATATCATCAATACTCTCCCACCTAATCATTTCATTAACAGTGACACTGTGCATGAAGCTGTTGCTCGATCTTGTAAAGAGCAGCAGAGGCAAATTGAGGTAACAAACTTGACGGAGAGACTATATTGGATTTGAAACATACAGCGTCTTGTGGCTATTGACTGTTTTTGTTGCTTTTCCTACATTTGAATTTGCATTATCTATTTAACTGAAGTTTGTCAACAGATGAATCTTATGTTAGGTGACATTCCTCATATGCTAGACCTTATCTGGTCATGGATTTCACCAGCTGAATATGATGAAACTATGTTTAGGTAAAGTTTTTGGTTTTTTGTGCCTGGTCTAGATTTTTGGTCTTACTCTATTTTCCATCTACGAATCTTTTGTTACCGTCATATGTTATAATTTAGATGGGGAAAAGGGGCAAATAAGCCCTCGAACTAACCAAAAAAGTGCAAATCACCCCTTATATAAGAGGTTCTGTCCAGCCGTTGCCATTTGGGTTGGTTCCCGGTGGATTTTTTTGATGCATGTTTTGGAGCAACTTCTTCTTTAAGTCTAGTTTACCCATACCAAATTTAAGCTAAAACTAAAACCGGGAAGGCAGTCAAATGATTTTCTGAAATATACTGCTGTTTAACTGCACAATTATCTTCAAAAATTCATTTGACTACCTTCCCGATTTTATCTGAAATTTGGATGTGCCATAGTGCCAGAGATCAATTTATGAAGCTTATTTCTTAATTTTGTGCAAACAACCTGGCATATTTGACACTGTACTTAGTCTGCAGTGACTTCAATGGGTCCAGCATCCATACTCTTTTAGTCTGACTTTCTCATTCTCTTGCTAGTCTAACAATCCAGTTGTCTTTATATTATTCGATTTTACATAACATTGCTATGAATGAGAATCGGTAGCACCGTCTTTGAATGTCAGAGCTGGCTCCCAAAAGGGTTATCTCAGTACAATGATTGTTACTCCCACTGTCCCATTTTGCTCTTCTCGATGTCCCATAAAGTCTTCCCACTTCCTTGTAAGGAATTCAGTGTGATTGATATTGATTCTTTTGATTCTAAAATACATCTCAACCACATTGACATTTAGTATTTTTTGTTGTTCATGATCCTTGTTAATATGGAGATAGTTATGTACCATTATCAAATTCTTGATTAGTTGATACACAAAGAATATCAAGTGTTTATGATGGTTACTATTTTCCCTCTACCAGGCCTCATGGTGATCCACAGATGATGCGATTTGGTGCACATCTTGTACTTGTAATTCGGTATTTACTAGATGATCAGATTAGTGATGACTTCAGGGAGAAAGTAATGACAGTTGGTGATCTTATTATTCACATGTAAGTGTTTCAACAATTTCAGTTATTGTTCGTTTTATTGTTCATTCTGACATGTCTTGCGTTCAAGTTCAAAAGAAAAGTGCGGCATTTATGGAGTAATTGATTTTCCACTATGTTCATTTTATTGTTTTGCAAATTACCCTGAATAGGAGTAAAAACAACATGAGATTTCTTAATAGGATTACTATTTCCCCCAAATAGTAGTAATTATTGCAATGCTTGGAAAATACTTCCAATTATGGCATGAAGACCTGCCATATCAATGCCACGTAATGCTAAATTAGGGCAATATGATTTCAGGATATCCGTAATTTGCTGGTATTTAGAGGAAAAAATATAGCTCTCCTAATTTGGAATTTCAAATTGTTTTCACTCCTATTTTGGAAAATTTCCCTTATTGTTTCTTTTGAAATATTCTGAACCATGTTATCATGGCGAAAAGAAGATTGGTCTTTCAGTCCACATACACATGAAAAGCAAAACACCTCTTGAATTTGTTGACTATTTTATTCCATCCATTATATATCCATGTGTAAACTTTGGTTACGTGCTGTATTGAGTTTTGGCATAACTCTTCACCATGAAGTCCTTAACCAAACTTTGTCTTCTGCATCATTCAGTCCTTTCAATCCTGTCACTACTTACTGTCTTTCTTCTGTTTCCAGTTTGCGTAAGGTATAACTTTCTAACATTCTTTGTGACTTCTGATTTCAGATATGCCATGTTTCTTTTTACAAATCACCATGAAGAGTTAGTTGGGATATATGCATCTCAACTCGCTGGTCATCGTTGCATCAATCTGTTTTTGCATATGATGGAGTTGCGTCTTAACAGCAGGTGATTATCAGTGTGCTGCAGAGTGTCTGTTTTCCTAAGCTTCTCTATTGTCTTATGAATTGTCTTTTTTTTTGCTAATGCACTTGCAAGTTACTAGATGTGCACATCTCATAAGTCATATCAATCTGATTTCTTATGCTTACCAATTGCCTTTGGTTTGTTAAGGGGCAAAATACAATGCTTGGGGATTTATTTTCTTTTATTGTTTGGATTAATCTAAATTTACCCACTCCCCCATAACAAATCTATACTTCCTCCTGCTCTTTATCCAATTCAAAATCTTCAGTTTTTAGGAGGCTTCGACCACCTAATTGCACATGTTAAAAACAAACCAAACATTGATAATCCAGTGGCCCAATGCATTCTTGAGTACTTTCTATATACTTTCTAATTTTTGTATCATATGATTTATGGTACTCTTAGGTATGTCATTAATCTGCGTAGAGTCAAAGATTATAAGAGCTGTATTGCCTCAACTTGTAAAGAAGATCCCAATGAGTAATTAGGTTGCTTTACAAACAGAGTGATATGGAATTCTCCTCTTTAAAACTGTCTAAAATCCATGGGACTGCATTCCTTTGTACTCATTATTGAAAGATTCTATTCTAATAAACGATCAGGGCACATTGCTTTGAGGAATTCTTATTTCTTGTTCCTTGGACCTCTATCAATGGTCTCATGTTATTTTCCTTTCCCTTTTTACTGCCAACAGTGTCCATGTCAGATATAAGGTCTTTCTTTCTGCCATTGAGTACTTGCCCTTCACTAATGAAGATGATTCAAAAGGCAGTTTCGAAGAAATCATTGAAAGGTTTTTGTTATTCTCTGAGGCATAACTTCTTTTTCTTCCACATTCTTGACACATAATTTATTTGTTCGATATTTGCTGTGAAAGCAAACAATGATTTTCTTTGAAACAGGGTCTTGTCGAGGTCTCGAGAAATTAAAGATGAAAAGCCAGATAGCCTAAATGATGTTACAGAGCAGCACCGCTTGCAAAGTCTTCAAAAGGCTATGGTTGTTCAGTGGCTTTGTTTTACACCCCCTTCTACAATCAAAGATGCAAATTCTGTCAGTGCCAAACTACTTGTTCGGGCGTTGATGCATAGGTGATTTATGTTCTTTATTCGCATTTCCTTTCTAATTATACTTTTATTCCCTTTATAAGTGAACCCTTCAAGTATGTCGTCAAAACTGGACTGGAAGGCGACCCGACCCGAACAAGTGACCAGATCAAGGGTCAACCTGTACTAGGAGGGTCAGCCCGGTTAATGGGTGATAAACCCAGTCAATATTAGCTAAAAAACAATTTGATAAAATATGTACAATTTTATACGTAGTATCAGATTAAATTTGTAAAGGAAAAAAATAATCTCATCTATAATTTAAGAACAATGAGTTCATGGTGTTAAAATAACTTTTTATATAAAGTTTGGGATATTTTAGTTACATATGAAAGTTTGGGGTGTTTATCTCACACCCCTTCAAAGTTTGGGGTATTTTAATTATTTTCCCTTAAATGTAATGTTCAGTATAATATCTAAAAAATTATATCAGTATTTATGTTTGTATTTGGAATATTGTATACATGATTGGACAGTATAACAATAGTAATAATAGGAATTGTTATTATTAATCAATAATTAACAATACAAAATTTAACTCAAAGATGTTATAAAATAAAGGTAGTATAATGCTTACATAACACACATAACAAATGTGCCTTACTGGTAGAATTGGAATAGCACTAGCGCTTACTCAAGCCAGGTGAGGGATTAAACCCCCCCTCTACATAGCGTGAAGCCGTGAAATGCCTATCCCTAACATAGCGTGAAATGCCCATCCCTAATATTGTCACTGTTATTATTGTATTGTTTATCCCCAAAATCTTTGGGACTAAGGATTGGATGTTGTATTAGTTCGCACTTCCCATACGACGTCACCATAGAGATTGTTGAATATGCACTCAGTATGTTAATCATAACTACTGTAAATTATGGCAGCAATGTGCTTTTCCGAGAATTTGCTCTGATATCAATGTGGAGAGTTCCAGCAATGCCCATTGGATCACACACATTACTTGGTTTACTTGCTGAGCCTTTGAAAAATTCAACTGAAGCTCTTCTTTCTACCGGCGATCATGATGCTTCTGAGAATCTGAGGGAGTTCGAGGATTGGGTAGGCGTTGTTTTTTGAAAATTTACTAAATTTGTAATCTCCTGCTGTTCAAGATATTGACATAACACTTCTATTTTGTCACGTTAAACAGAATGCGTACTACTCGTGCGATGCCACGTATCGGAACTGGCTAAAACTTGAACTAGAGAATGCAGAAATTTCTACACTTGAACTATCAAATGAGGAAAAGAGTAGGGCAGTTGCAGCTGCTGAAGAAATGCTGCATGCTTCTTTTTTATTGCTTCAAAGTGAGTTAATAAAAGAATGTGAGATAGTAACAACTGCCCTGCCAACAAATCTGTATTATCCTTTTTTTTTTGTCTCCATGCTTCACATTTTCTCATTGTTTTTACTTTTATCTTAGAACCTGTTTTATTCTGTGATTGTTTTCTTCTTTTTAAAGTTCCAGTTTATTTTCCGTGTGTTCTAGGAGAAGGAAATCCATGGTTGTTTCCTACTCAAGATCACATCTTGTATGAATCTGAGGAACCGCTATTCCTGGAACTGCATGCCATCGCATCTTTGTGTGTATCTACTGGGGAGTGCATGACTCCAGATGCCACTTTGTGTGCCACATTGATGAGTGCACTGTATTCTTCAGTGAGTGAAGAAGAAGTGATGAACCGTCAGATGATGGTATATGATCCTGCCTTTTTTCTTGGACAGATATCAATATATCATAGATAATCAAAAGACGTAATGTAATTTACTATAACCAAATGCATTTGTAATTTATATACACAAAAAATATATTTGATCACATTACATTACATGTTATTACAGTTTAAGAAACTACTCCCCCCATCCTAAAAGAATAGTTCAGTTTCAAGATATTAATTAGTCCAAAGAAGGGATATTTGTTAGTCCAAAAAAGTCAAATTTGAAAAAGCAATTTTAGTTATTGAGCAACAATCATGTAGAGTCGAGCACTAAACAGTTCTAGTCAGTTACTCTATACAATCTTTGAGATAAGCCTATAAGCATTAGAGGGGCTATGAGTGGTCGTTCATAACTTGTAATAGCTTTGTATGGTCATTCATAACTTGTGATAAGCCTACTAAAAATAGAAGGTCGTACTTTATTCAAACATGAGTTTTTAGGATGACAGGAGTACATCCGATGGTGTGTGCATGAATGGATGTTCAATATGCTTTGTGCTGTAGTGAAGTGTTGATTCAACGACAAAAGCCAAAATACACTCTTTTTTGTGTGCAGATTAATGTCTCCATATCACCCAAGGACAAATTCTGCATTGAAGTTGTGCTACGATGTTTGGTGGTAGAGGGCGATGGGCTTGGTTATCCTGAGCTACATGATGGTGGTATTCTTGCTACAGTACTTGCAGCTGGCTTCAAAGGTACTAAATAAAGTCATTTTTCGAAGAGTTTTTTGGAAGATTTGGGAAGTGCAATATACCATATCATTCATTCAAGTCGTAGCAGCCATTAACGTTTAATTTCCTTCAAAGCAATAAATTCATAGAAAAGACGAAGTTGAAGAATGTCAATGTTGCCCAGTTCTTATCAGTCATGGTTAAGTTTGTAGTTATAGAGATCATTTTGTAAAACTTAAAATTGTCAAGTTGTTAGAACCTGCAATTCTAGTCTTAACAGATCACAGAATTGATTCAAGAAACTCAAGGCAACTTTATTCTCTTAGGCAACAATGAGCCGAAGCCCCCCAAAAGATAGAGCCAATGCTCTGATCTTCCCAGTACAGACTAATGTCTAAAACAGCCTACTAACAACTTCCAAATGTATTCTATTTATTAAAGTAAGGCTAACCACCGGCAGTTATTAGCTCATAACAGACTATACTAATAACAACCCTACTTTCTTCTAGAATACACTTTATTAGAGTATTTATCTCCTCTCTTCAGATTAATAAAGTCTCTATCAAATCTCCCCTCCTGAAAATCCAACTTGCCCTCAAGTTGGACGGTTGGAAATTGTTGTCTGATGCTATGTTCTGTCTCCCAGTATTATTCAAACTCCGGAAGATCCTTCATATGTACCCAGATTTCCCTCTCCCCTGCTGAATTCATTCAGATATTCTTCACATCCTCAGGCCACACCAGTACTTCACACTCTTTAATTAAACAATTAGGAAGATCTTTGCAGGAGTTGGCAGGTTTCAATTCCTTCTTCTGCTTCCTCTTCATACTGGTGCTTCTACCTTCCCAATATCTCACTGGTTTAAGTGCAAAGAGCTTTGCTACTTAAATCTTCATTATCCAGTTCTCAGCAGGAAAGAACAGAAGTAAAGACATCGTGGCATAATGCTCCCTGGTGTTATAAAATTTTCCCAGTGTCTGTATCTCCTGTTGAATTCTTGACTTTTCTTCCCACTTCTTTTCAAAAGAATTGACCTCAGTTTGTTCATGACCTGGCACCCGTTCAAAAGCATATGATTTAAGATCCCCGTTATAGTAACATCTCAACATCTTCCCTGGAAACAAATCATACTCATAGAGAGCATCAACAACTTGCTTACAAAGATCATCACAATTCTGCAATCACTCACATAATGCAAACATACTCTGATGAGTTTCAGCTCTAAATGGATCATAGAGCAGACCAGTTTTAACCTTTTCACGAACACACATACAAACTTCCACTGTTTGATCAACCAATCTCTTCAAAAATTCCCTAACTAACTGTTGAAAAACTTCATTGATAACTTCATCCAGCCACTTTCCATCACTTTTGACACCACTTGCAAATTCTGGCCTTAATGAATAATCCATGAAATGCTTTCTGTTGGAAACATCAACTACAACAGCTTGATTCGTAAAGTCCAGGTCCACACGGATTGTATTCAACTGGTTGTCAAGAGTTAACTTATCAGCCCATCTCAGTCCATAATGTGAGGAGTCCCAACTTGCATAAAGCATCAAACTGCAGCCCTTAGCTTCCATCCCAGATTTGTCATTGGAGTGGGTGAAGATTGATCCTACAAATGCACAAATTTGTAGATCATTCTTTCCCAATGGCCCTGCTAAGATACTCTGGACTATTATACCCTTTTTACCCACAATAACTTGATCCTGACTGTCAGAATCAGCAACATACTTCTCCATAGACACATCATTCACCATCTCTTTTTGAATATTTTTCATAGACGTAACCCCTTCCAATCTATGAATACCAAACATGTTTAATCCTTCCCACATAATGTTTAATGAATGACAATACACAATTTCATTCTTGAAGACATTTGGCCAGTTCATCTGCTGTACAATATGAGTAGAAATATCACCTGCCTGAAGACGCTTGAACCTATTGATTTCAAGGTCTGACTGGTCCCGATCGTTCTTGGAAACAATCTTACGTCTGGGGAATCCAACAACCGGTCCATCTTCAGGTTGAAGATTAACTGATGGTTTATCATTGTGTTCCTCTTCTCCATAAGTGTGCTGCTGAATAGCCAACTCCTGCTGCGACTCTGGAAACTCAGATAGATATTTCGAACTAGGGTTTTCTACTCGAATTGAAGCCAGAGGACCGGAAGAAGTATCTTGCGACTGCGACGGACCTTTGTTTTTCAAATTCATGCAGCGACGTACAGTCCTCGACCTTCTTCGCCGACGATGTTGTCCTCGCTTGGGCTTCCCCTTCTCCAGGTTTGAAGGCTTTTCCTTCTCCACTTTTTCGCCCTTTTCTTTCTCCACTTTTTCGCGTTTCTCTTTCTCCACTTTTTTTGCGTTTCTGTTTCTCCACTTTTTCACGCTTCTCTTTCTCCACTTTCTCGTCTTCAACTTTTTCTGTGAACTTCCCCAAGGTTCCGCACGAATCTTTTTGAGAGTGCGAGACATTTCGTGACTCTTTCTGCGTTTCCTTCTGCGATTTGGTGAGCGACGAACTCTGATGGTCAGATAGACGATGATGACTGGTGTTGCTCGATCGATCTCTAAGTTCTTTGCGAAGCTTTTGCTCTTGATGCGAAGGTAAATACTTGGAATTAACTTCTGATCCCTTTATTCTAGCGGAATCTCTTGTGTGTCTATGATGCGAAGCCTTTTCCGCGATCTTTTCCATTTTCCCGCTCTCCACCTTTTCCGCGGTCTTTTCCATTTTTCCGCGAGAAGCCTTTAGCGAGTGCGAAACAGAAGAAACAGTTCGCGATTTCTTCTGCGGTTCCTTCGATCTATGCAAAGAGTGCGACCTTCTCTTCGATCGATCTGGATCTCTCGCATCCAATCTGGCGAGAACTACTGTCAACCTCTTCTTCAACTCATCTAGTCTCGATTCCATCTTTTCTCGCGTCCAAATCATTCACAATGATCAACCTGTCTCTGATACCGATGTTAGAACCTGCAATTCTAGTCTTAACAGATCACAGAATTGATTCAAGAAACTCAAGGCAACTTTATTCTCTTAGGCAACGATGAGCCGAAGCCCCCCAAAAGATAGAGCCAATGCTCTGATCTTCCCAGTACAGACTAATGTCTAAAACAGCCTACTAACAACTTCCAAATGTATTCTATTTAAAGTAAGTAAGGCTAACCACCGGCAGTTATTAGCTCATAACAGACTATACTAATAACAACCCTACTTTCTTCTAGAATACACTTTATTAGAGTATTTATCTCCTCTCTTCAGATTAATAAAGTCTCTATCACAAGTCTATTGTGACTTGGGATTTCTGATGTTTTTGCTGAAATGGCTGATTCTGCCAAATTATATTTAAACATTTTAAGGAGAATAATGTCTAAAAATAAAGTAAAAAGCGTCAATTTAGGTCATTACATTAAGGAACACGGACGCTACTATTCTCAGTGATTCAGCCAACACGTTAGCAATGGTTAGTTCAGTGGAGAAATGGTTGATAAGCCAAAACTATAGTTCGCCAAATGAGTTCAAAACTATATGAATTCTTGTGTAATTGTTTGGTTTCTTCAAAGCAGGAGAGATGCTTCATTTTCAAGCAGGAGTAACAATGGAAATATCTAGACTGGATGCATGGTATTCCAGAAGTGATGGAGCTATTGAAAGCCCGGCTACATATATAGTAAGAGGTCTCTGTCGCCGGTGTTGCATTCCCGAAGTAATTCTCAGGTGTATGCAGGTAAACTGAATCCAGCCTGTTGCAATCCAATCACCTTCTAAGGTAGTTGTGCTGAATGATCTTTAACCAATTTTATTTTGAAACAATATTTCTTTTGTAGGTTTCAGCCTCGCTTATGGAGTCTGGCAAGCCACCTAAAAACCACGATGGGTTGATAGACCTAGTTACTAATTTGGAAACCGGATATCTTCATCTGTTTAGTCAGCATCAGTTGCAGGTAAGAAACACACTGCATGTTCCTTATGATAACTGGCCAATCCGGAGTTGTTCTGGTGTAGAATTTGGATTCCCTAGGGAATAATACATTAATACTCCATGAATTGCAACACTGTGATTAGGTGAAAATAAAAAATAGTCAATCTTTGTGTACCTCGATGCAGTAATAGAGATGATAATGTGAGATTTCGTGAATGTAAGATATAACTAGTTAATGTCAGATTACAGGATGATTATCTGATGTATTTGGCTGGGAAACTAAAAATGTAGCACTAATTTGTTCCAAAGCAAATACAACTTAAGTAGTCTCGGACTCTCGGTAACCCACTCAGTCAAAGGTCGAGTAGTGATGAGGTCTGATAAGGTGATATCTCAGGAGTGGTCGGTTACCACTTATCACCTGACTCTATAGTAGTACAATTTAAAAAACGTGTGCTACAAATTTCTAATAATGTGAGTTGTAACTTTGGAAGTCTTAATATGTAAAAAAAAGCCACAATAACAAGCTTGATTTACAAGGCATTTAAAGAAGATTAACCATGTATTCAACCATAACTTATTATATGCTAAAGTTATTATAGTTAGGTTTAATGTCAACATTATTTTCATCTTTTTCCATGTCCACAAACACATCTCGAGTGAAAAATGTAATTTCACAAACCATCAAAACCTTGGAAAATTGTTTTTATTAAAAGGAAATTCCTAAATTCTTCTTGACCTTATAATGACCCATTTTTGTTTTCAATCTTTCACATTTTACTACTAATCCTCGAATGACTCGACTCACTGAGTCGTTAAACTGCCGAGTACTTTCCGAAGTGACTCATTCTTTTGAATTAGACAGAATAAGTAAACAACTCAGCAGGGTTTAGGTCCGACATACCCTGAGTAATCAAATCACCCTTAATTTCACCTGATTTTTCTGTGCAATGATTTGAGATTACGCAAGTACTCATAAGACTTGAATTATTTTGAAGCAAATAAAGTATTCTCACATTATATTTCTCAGAAATCTTATAACTCAAATAAACGAGGTCTTATGACATTGCCTTTGTTACATTACAATGTAATACTACACAACCGGAACCTAACACCCTCATCGTGAAAGGGGAAATTATCCTTGGATTGTTTAATTCTTGGAATTGTAGATGACTATAATGCGTCTAAGTTCTGTGTTGTTAAGATTGTGGAAACGGCCAGAACATTATACTAACATGTTGGGCTGATGGGTATATTTTGGATTATGGTGTTTGATATTCTCTAAACCTTTTCTACTTGGATTTGTATTTGTGTCTACTGAACATAAATTTGCCATGTTACAGGAATTCTTATTATTTGAAAGGGAGTATGAAATTTACAAGATGGAGCTTCAGGAATCTACTATGGTGAACATTGGATCACACTTAGCATTAGGAATGGACTAGTGTAATAGTAGTAATATCAAGCTTTCTGTCTCCGTTTTTTCTCATTTTATTTAAATAGAGTTTTAGGAACTCAAATTTCTCTGTTTGGGGTTAAAAGTAAATTATTTGTTCTAAAAACTTTGATTGTTGGAAATTTACATTAACTAACTTAATAGTTTTTTGTTAATTCAAAATTGCAAATAACATCATGATGATAACATTACTTGTACAATTTATTTATTAGTGCCGAAAATGGAGTACCAGTGAGTAATATTCTCTCTGTCCCACTAAGATTGTCCCATATTTTTCTTTGGTACCATTTCTCATGTTTCAATGTTAGTAAGATGGAGGTAGTACTACAAATGTCAATCGGGTAGTGTCTGATAGCCAAAGTATCTTGGACGAGATAGCTCCCTACCCCATCTTCATTTAGCTTAAATTTCTACTTGGCGCTAGGCATGAACCTAGGTCAATCCAGTCTTGGTTTTGGGACGAGACTGCCTGGTCCCGACCCGCTTATTTCCGGGTATAGGCTTGGTTTCGTGTACTATGTTGGTTTGGTTCTGGACCCGGTCCAGTTATATATACCACCTTTTGTCCCTTTGGGCCATTGGGCAAAACTCTTACCAGTATGGGTTTTTGGATGCGAAGCAAGGAGAAATGGGTCCTTATCCTTAATCAGTCAATTGGATACATTTCTGAAAACTTATGAAAGTCCTAGTTTGACTTTTGAGTCAAATTTGTTAAACTTTGACTGTTAATTACTCAAAATTAACAATACTTTATCTCAAAAAAATTATTCAATGTGTTTCATTGTCATATACTCATGTATTATTTAAATGTCAATTTATGATTATAGATTATATAGGTTAATATTTATAGATAGATAATTATGGTCAAATGTTTGTTTAGGAGACTGTAAACTCAAGTTGAGACTTTAATATTGGGACGGAGGGACTATTTTTGTAATTTTGGCCGGTTCTAACTTCCAAGTCAGAGGACATATGTAATTTTTGCTGGTCAAAATTGAAATTGCTTTGGTCCCCAAATTTGTGAATTGGGACATGGTACCTCTCTTAGGTGGACAAGGACAACCTAGGCCCAAAACTGAAAAATGGACCTGGTTAGTGCCCAAATAGTGCTAGACCCGATTCTGGTCTGTCGGACGATTTAGCGCTAATGTCAAAATGTTATTCATTCTTTATAGGGTGTTCATCTTATTTTTAGCCACAAAATGCGGGTTAAAGTTTAATTGAACGTGCTGTGATTGATTTATAGTCCATTTGGAAACTATTAAATTGGTTAATTGGTTGAATTTATTGAAAGTGACAAAGTTCTAGCTGAAGTCACCTATTATTACACAATTTAGTGTGAAATCAATAGTTGCGCGTTTGATGACAAACATTTGAGAAAAGAGCAACTTAGAGCATCTTCAATGCTATAATGTCCACATTGCATATGTGGCATGAGTGATAGCCACATGAATATTAGCAAATAAATTATTTCTCTCCTTATTTGAATGATTTTATACAATTTTAGTAAGTTTTTCCCTGCAATGTCAACAACAATGTCAACATCTAGACGGTCTCCTTGACAGTGTGGAGAAAAACTTACCAAAAATATATAAAATCATTCAAATAAGGAGAGAAAGAATTTATTTACTAATATTTATGTGGCTATTTTTCATGCCACGTGTGCACCGTGCACATTTTACCATTGGAGATGCTCTTAGTGTCCAGTTAGGGCCTTTAGGGTGCAATTGTGTAAATTCCAAGTGTTTGAACTTTGAAGTGTTTTTTGGCTGTTCTGATCGAAAAGGAGTAGTGACTATTTATTCACAAAGTAACCTGCACACACAATGATATCTATAAATTAATTTGAGCACAAATTTATTTATAAATTCTTTTACCATAATATAATTTCCATGTGCCATTTTGTAGAAGAATCAATATTCAATATAAGGAGCATTTATTTGAACTCATATAAGTCATAACTCATAACTGATTTGTCTCTTCCATACAGCCATAAGCAATCCTAAACTCTAAAAACAAGAATCACTTTTCAGATTATGATTATATTTTTTTGCTCACTTTCTAAACCTATAATAATATATTTCATTGGGATGAGACTCGAACTTGAGACCTCCTATTTTGGAAGACCATAACACCCCATATATCTAATGCTATGGGTCAACGTTGGAGTTACGGGTGGGATGGTCCAATCTCAGATAGTGAGGAATCATACTCCGTACTTTCTAATAGTCAGTACGTTATCAAGGATAGATACTAGATAGGCCGGTCAAATTTTAGGTTCAATTGTAGCACATCTGCACATGCAATCAGAAATGAAACCAGTTTTGACAGGATATAGGTACCGGAAAATGATCCGATTTTCATGCAAAAAACTAGTCTTTCACGGTCTAATTCCGCTACTGGATCCCCCATAGGCTGGCAGGTCTAGCTAGTATAAGTGTATATAACCATAGGTTAGTTCTGCGGTTCTGCCCGTACAGATTTTGGTCAAGTTCTGCCTGTAAAACAATAAAATGCGTACAACAAGAATTGTTGATCTATCCGTCCCATATTTTTCTCATTTATTTTGTAAAGTACAAACAAATCTCTGGAGATGATTTATTTAGAAATGTACAAACATATAGAATTCTTTTGTTAAAAGAAGAAGAAACCAAGATATCTTGAGAAAAGTGTGCCTTTTCATTTTAGGAAGAAATTACTAGAGCCGGCAAACAAGGCTCTCACTCTCAGTCTTGACATGTGCTCTGGTGATGTCTTTAAGAGTGCAACAGCCAGAAAGGGCCATGGTCAGCTCAAGTTCATCCTTCAGCATCTCTAACACGCGTTTCACCCCCTTTTCTCCTTTTACAGCCAACCCGAAGATTATCGGCCTCCCAATCTGTACCACACCCATATTTGTATGTAATCAAGCAAGAACTTCCACCAGGAGAATAAAATAGAAATCAATGAAATATGGGTTTTGCAAAAACACTCAGAGAAGTGATTAAAGAGCAATTATTTTATACCAAAACTGCTTGTGCACCAAGAGCTAAGGCCTTAAATATATCTGTCCCTCGCCTCACCCCTCCATCAAACAATACCGGAATCTTTCCCTCCACCGCAACAACTACCTGCATTGCATTTCTGTTCAAATATGGGCGTAGACAGTGGCATAGCCAGGAGAGATAATTGGGACAGGACATGAAAAAATGCTCATATAACTTTTTATCAATTTTTACACATTAGAACAAAACTTCTTACCAAAATAGGGGTGTGCGCGGACCCGAGTTGGCCCCTTGCTTGCGCCCATGGGCGTAGAAAAGGGAGTCAACCCCAAGTTTTGTATTAAAAAATCATTCATATTTTTTTTACCGTAAAAATCATATTAATAGATTATTTCTCGACGAATCCGTATCTTTAGATTTAATTTGTTTCAGTCCTAGCAATGCCATTGCGCCAAAACCTTATAAAACTTGTGAATTTATTATAGCGACCACTTGCCTCTTCAAGAACAGATATACTAGGTGGAGAATAATCGAGCTGGCGAGCTCCATGGTTAGACACAATAATGCCTGCAACTCCCACTTCCAGTGCTTTTTTTGCTGCACCAAATAGATCATGTTTCATGTGTAAAAAGATATTTAGAGACTTCAAGTAGTTAGTATAAACTCTTCTTCCATCTTGCTTTCATTCCCCTACAAATGTTATTGACGTATGAGTTCTGACATACTTCATACGTAGTACATAATATGGTCCAGATCACTTAATTAGGTCATAATGTAAATTAGTCAATTCACAAGAACTAGCTAATCTGATCTAAGAGTGCTTACACATCCATCTATATCTCCTTAATCTTTGAATGAACTATAACATAGTAGCATATGGTTTTGAGCCTTGTATAAGCTCTTTGGTTCTAGTCTTACAAACTCTTGACACTCGATAGTACAATTTCAATAGATGTCTTCCTCTAACGAATCTTTAGGACTGCAAGTTTTTAAAGTAACATAGGATTGTTCGTTATATTCTTGAAAACAATTCTTGTTCCCATTGTACTATTACTTGCCCCAACATGGTTTTCACGGGAATTACGAGTAAAGTTGTATGGTAGTGAATTGTGTAAGAGGAGTGAAAAAGCAGGAGAGAAGCTGAATATTTAAAGGTATCTATATCTTTTAGAGATGAAAAAGTAGGAAAAACCAAAAGCAGAAATTGGAGTGAGTAAAAGTGAACATATGGAGTGTGTATATATTCTTCTTTTATGGCAACTTCTACTAAAAATGAATTAAAAAAAGTTTCTTCTTAGTGAAAGGAGAATTATGAGCTGACCATCCTCATGAGTCAGTATCCCCTTGAGCAGGATTGGTAACGTTGAAATTGACTTTAACCAAGCAATATCCTGCATTGGGGGGGGGGGGGGATGAAACAATTAAAAAAGAAACTTCAATATCAATGCGACAGCTTAATAATTTATTCAAACCCCAACATGAGCATCAAAACGTCCCAGAATGTTTTTAAAGAAAATGCCTAAAATCTGAAAGCTGTCTTTTTTCCCTTGAGTATTACGAGTAATTTTTTAACACCCACTTATTATAAGTCAAATCAGAAATTTTCCTTGTTCTCAAATTGCTAGTTTGAGTTTAAGACTGAGGTAGAACTAAAAAGTTATCCAAGGCATACTTATATTTTATTATTGTGAGATGATTAATAACACTTGGGTAATCAAGTGTATAGTGTCAATTTTTACCTTCCAATTTAAGGAACTGTCAAGAGTTGATGATGCATAAGCCTCAAGTCCTGAACCACTCTCCTAGAAATAACATATGATCAAATTCATAGTAAAATTTACTGTTTTATTCGGAGTATATTAGTTTGTATCTTTAGAAGCAAAAAGAAGAAGAAAGCGAGAATAAGGTTAATGAACATTACCGGGACAACTGAGGTTGAGATAAGGCCTTCAAAATTCTTTAACTGAGGTGGTACAAATCTGCAATTTAAATAACAGGTGCCTAATTCATATTTAAGGTCAAGAAGAACAAAAGTTTAATTTCTTATCTGTGAGTGACCAAGTAAAGATTACTTGTTTTTAATGTCTGCTTCCCTTCTACCCAGCCTTGGTGTATCAACAGTAACAATTAGTGCCTTGAACCCATTCCTCTCAGCTCTTTGTACCATTAATTCAGTCACATACCTCTTTTTGAATACCTTTTAATTAACAAATTCAAAATACGGCGGGTACCCATGTGTTCATTATAAATCTGAGAGAAGTATGAGTTCTGAAGAACATACAT